ATAGCTATACCCCAGTGAAATCCAATTCTTAAATGCTGTTGGCAATATCTCTTGGCCAGATGTACCTCATTTGAGATATTTTGTTAAGAATAACAAAAAGACAGCCCCAGTTAATTCACCTTGAGCACTTGGAAAGGAAGATAGGGAACCGATAGGAAAAGTCATAGCTATTTTGGAATAGTGCCTGTTTATTCATTGTCTGAAGAGAAAGACATGGCTGAGGATGAATGCATGCATTACGTCCTAAACATCCTTTTACAAAAGGCCTCTCCAAATAGAAGCCAATTAGAAAGACACGCAGGGCTGCTATTAAGAAATTACTCTATTAATCCTATCTATTGATGTTTTCAACTTCAGTTTTAATGCTTCCAAGCAAGCATTTGAAGACAAAATATTAATATAACATGCATGCAAGCCCAAGTGAAAAAGACACCGAATAACCAAATTGCCTAGAACAAGATAAATATATTTAAACCAGCAGAAGGAAGTGGTTTGGCCCTGGGTGTCAGAAAAAGGATTCAGATCTGATTCAGCATTTATCAGCCTGCTGAATCTTTGCCTGATACAGTGTATGTTAAACGGGTAACACAAAATGTGGATGGTCTGCAAAGACAAAACTAGATTGCCAGGGCCTGGGGTGATATTGGCGGAAAGAGCACAGCTCAAAATCTGCAGCAAGCATTCCTAATCAGTTGTACTTGTCTGACGAGGAAAGGAGTAGATGCCAAGATCTAATTTTAGTCAATAATTTTAGAATGCATTTTTGAGGAATTTATTCTAGGCTTTTGTCAGTTTTACTATTGCTACATTGCTTTTGTTTTTTGTTTAAAAAATAGCTTTTTCAGAATACACACAGGCAGTCCTTGACTTACAACAGTTTGTTTAGTGACCATTTGAAGTTACAACAGCACTAAAAGAAGTGACTTATGATTGTTTTTCACACTTATGACCATTGCAGCATCCCCATGATCACCTAATCAAAATGCAGATGCTTGGTAACTGACTCATATTTATGACGGTTGTAGTGTTCCAGGATCATGTGATCACCTTTTGCAAACTTTTATCATTGAGGAAGCCAGATTCACTTAACAATCGTGTTACTAGTTTAAGAACTGCAATGCTTCACTTAACTATGACAAGAAAAGTAAAAAAATGGGGCAAAATTCACTTAACAATTGTCCCACTTAGCAACAGAAATTTTGGGCTCAATTGTAGTCGTAAGTTGAGGACTACCTGTATAAGTAAACGTTGGCTCTTTCAAGATCTTATGTTTGAGTGTTCTAGAGAAGTGAAGTCTATTTCTAAATAGGCATAGTCTCATGTTTGGAATGCTCCCTAAATAGGGCCATTAAAAACAAAAAACAGCAAATGTTCCCATTAATCCATTAAGTTGAGGATTAAAGGTGATCACAGAATATCTGTTGGGTGTTTAGGGGCAAGAAACATCAGAGAGGATGGAATGGAAATTAATTAATTTGCTTGTTTACTTATTTATATCCTGCCTTTATTATTTTTATAAATAACTCAAGGTAGCAAACATGTTGGACACATCTATCTTCTCTTATTTTCCCCGTAACAACAATTTTGTGAGGTGACTTGGGCTGAGAGAGTGACTGGCCCAAGTCCACTCAGCTGGCTTTCATGGTTAAGACAGGACTAGAACTCACAGTCTCCCACATTTTAACCTGGTATCTTAGCCAATCCTGGAAAAGAGAAATGTACCTTGGTATAATGCTGAGCAAGAAGACCAAACTATGGAACTTCCGGTTGGATCGCGGCGCCGATGGCAGCTTTTCCGTGAGCCGTCCGCCCCGAGGACGCGTAAGAGCCGCAGGAACAGCGAGCAACAGCTGTTCCGCAGCTCGGAATCCCCTTCCCTGGGAAAAGGGGTGAGCTTCCCTGATAGGGGTAGAGCTCCCTAGCCCTCATGATTCTCTATCTGTGAGGGCGAAGGTTTTACAAAATATTTTATAGGTGGCATTTGGATCCTCAAAATTTGTCCTGCATATATCCTAATTTACAACCTAAGTGTTGGAGATGTGGAAACTTAGATGCAACCTATTTTCATATTTGGTGGACATGCAGGGAAGTAAAGGCATTTTGGATTAAGATATGGTGGAATATTCAAAATATTTTTAAGAAAAAGATAAAGTTTAAACTGCAGATATTTTTGCTGGGTATTATGGAAGATTTGGATACAAAAGAAACGGATTTGATGTTGAATTTGATAACTGCTGCAAGATTACTACTAGCTCAATGTTGGAAAACGGAACGTTTGCCCACTATAGAAGAATGGTCACTGAAAGTCTCAAATTTAGCAGAAATGGCCAAGATTTCCGCTTATGTAAAGGATTACTCACAAGAAAGATATATTTTGGTTTGGAGAAGATGGATAGATTATATTGAGAGTAAATATGNAATAATGTAGTTTATATGTTATAATAGGTTACTTATTTTTATTTATAATTACTAATATGTTATAATTATTGTGTTTAATATTAATATATTTGTTTAAAAGAGAGTTAAAGGATGTTATAGATTTGTTATTCTAATAGTTGATTAATGTTAGATAGAGTATGGTTATTGTATTGTTAACCCTGTGATTGGCTCTGGGAAGTGGGGGGGAGGGAGGGGGGAGGGTAAGGGTGGGTTTTGGGGGAGGGGGGAATTATATTGTAAAACTTTTATAAAATTTTCAATTAAAAAAAAGACCAAACTATAACAATATGATGCTATTTTTACTATATGTATTACAATGGATAGAATTGCTTTCTGTGGTGGTTACTATGATTTTATCTGATATGAATTGCCATTCAGAGTGGGCAGATTATTTTCTATGACCTGGAACTCTTGGGTTCTCTTTCAAAAGGTTTAACTAGTTGACAAAAATTGAGGAAGAACAACTTTTTTTAGATTTATACATTATCTGAAGATGAGATCAGCATTGTATTCACGGGTAGTTTTCAACTTAAAACCGGCTGCTTAGCAATTGTTCAAAGTTACAATGGATCCCCCAAAAGATACTTACGAATGGGATTTGAAGTTCCAACAACCCTCCCCCCTCGGTCACTAGATCCCATTGTGGTCACTTGGCAACTGGCCCGCATTTATGGCTGTTTGCAGCATCCCACAGATGTGACCACAATTTGCATTATTTGCTGGAAACTAGTGTTTACTTCCAGTTTCTGGGGGGGAAAAACATTGCAGACAATGGGTTTGCTTAATGACCATTGTGTTTGCTTAACAACTGCTGCAAAAAATGTAAAATCGGGTTGGTCACGTGGGTGCCTCAAGTTACAACTCTCAAGATGTGCAACAGAAATTCTGGGTTCCATTACGTCTTAAGTCAAGGACTACCTGTAGCCCAACAGATTTGGATGACTCCAAGTTGAGGAAGGTTGCATTTCAAACCCTCTATTACAAAGTGTGTAAACAAAAAGTTATAGTTTTTATTCCATTTTGATCATCCTAATACTAAACATCAAAGAAGTACAAGATGGAGGAAGGGAAGGTACAGCACAATCAAACTTTCAGAATTTTGTTATTATAGCCAATCTAAATGAAAATAGTTTTAGCCTTCATGTGGAGTTGAATTCCTGGTCTAGTCTGCTTAGTGGGGCTGACAGTATGTTATCTTGGGCTCCAGAAGGAAAAGCAGGACATAAATCTGATACTAAATTTTTAATATCTAATGAAAATATAGTTACAGGTTGGAGAAGCTTGGCATGCAAGGTATGCATTGTATTGAAGAAAAGGCTGTTTTTTAAGTTTGATAGTGGCAAAGAAATTATTCAAATTTTTCAAGTGGGCGAACATTAGATTTAAAAGGTTTTAACCGTGTATTTGTCCATAAGTATGACCCCAGTGCTGCCATGAGGAAAAGAAAAACACTTGTGAGGAAAGTTACAAGCCCTTTCTTTTCCTATCACATTTCTGAGGTCAATCTATCTTCTGGAGAAGCACAGACTTGTAGGAATGGCAGCTCCTTTGTAGGTCTTCTGCTGCTGTTACCAGTGATGAATACAGTGCCAAAGAGGTGGGATTGCAGTAATGGTGCTGCAATGATCCATTGACCAGGTTGATTCAGAAAAGTGTGACTCCAGCTGTGTTCACATTCATCCTAAGGTCTTTAAACATAAAAATAGCGATATATTGTGTTTTATACAAACACCTGTGGAGTGTAACACACTTTTAGATCTGATGGTCCTATTGAAACTGCCTGTAATCAGTGCTAATGCAGGGTTGTTTCCTAGGTGAACGGAAAAGGTTCATTGTGGTGTGTGGATCCAGAATATAAACCAAACCTTGTACAGGCGCTGAAGAAGCAACCATTTCCCTCTGCGTTTGCATTTTATACCCCACCAGCATCACCACTAAGGTAGGATTTCTTTTTCCAAGCAGTACAATGTTGGAAGAAAAGGTTTTCCAGATAATATTGCTAAAGAGAAGACGGGACAGTTTGTATTTTGACAAGACTGTGACAGAAAGCTGTCTTTCTATATGTTTTTTTTTCTTTTTGAAAGTTGGAGAACAGCTCGTATTCAATGGCAGATCCCATATTTTGTAGGCAGAAATGCCTTCCATGTCCAGAGAAGAGACCCTCCATTCCCTGTCCTCAAATGCATTGAGTTTACTCCCCCCCCATCAGCATACCTCAGTCAAAGAATACAGGAGACCGAGCACTGAACAAGGCAGTTTTATATTCTCATCTCAGTAGTCAGCCTTTTATCATAATTACTGGGATTATGATACTGGGATAAAAAAAAGGAATTTAATTGTGATATCTGAGAGATGTATAGGATTCTGTATAAGACAGGTGATAAAGCTTCTTGCTTAATATTTTGATACCATAAACCCCCAGGTTTGCAGATTATGAATTAATTACACAATTCTCATATACTTTCCAGTTAGAGTGTAAGTTTGCAAAAAAATAATTGTCTGATACAATTTTTGTGTTACATAGTTCATTTTGGAAGAGGTAATAGCAAGAGTAAGATTTTGGGCAGGACCCAAATCCCAATGCACCATATGAGCCTGAAATACCACAGACGGCCTTGTGGAGAAGAGGACCGAGCTACTTCTGGGTCTCTGCCCTGGCTACCTCCGGGATCTATCAAGCACCTACAAGACAAAGAGGCTTTGCAGCTCCTCTCAAGGCCATGATGACTTGTAGTGTGGCAATAATCTGAGAGAGAAAACTAGCTTATATTTCACATGAAATTACAACTGAATAAAGGAATTAACAGAAAATACACTTTAAAAAATTGACACAATTGCATAAGGCCTTTTAAAGAAAAAATCTAAAAATGATGAAATTTCTGAAGTGTTAAGGATGAGATGAATTTTTTTGAAGCACAGGTATGTGAGATTGAAATTCAGACTTATATTCATGCCTAGCAATAACTGGACAAAAAAGATGGATGAATTTTGTTTTCTATTCTTAGGAGCATTGCACATTCAGGGAGGCACAGAAATAAAATTTCTGCTATATCACTTTATATTATTTAGATTTTTTTCTACTTTCCAACTTGTCTATCACCAAAAGTGCATGTTTGTTACAGTATTAGATTGCAGTGTCTTGCATTCTTTGTTTTGTGCCATATCCAGCCTTAAAAATAAGTCTCTGAGCATTTAAATATAGAATGTTGTTTAAAATATTAATACCATTGGTACTTATATTTTGCTGTCAATGTAATTTTTAAGATGGCTGCAAGAACATTGAAACACAATAACAGACTTAGTATGGTAAAATATACGTAAGCAATAAATAAAAAATAAGATGGTATAAAAATTAGGCCAATTAGGAAGTGAAATGAGTAATTCAAAAAGCAATTTAGAAAAACTTTCAGAAGACAATTTGAAAGAGTCATAAGTCCATTAAAAGAATGGTCAGTATAGACTTGAGGGCCCAGATGAACCCTCCCTAACTTTTCAAAGATAGTGCCAGCCTTTGGGAAGTACTAGAGTGAAAGAAAGGCCAGATCCTGAAGTTGAAACTCAAATACTTTGGCCACCTAATGAGAAGGAGGGACTCACTGGAGAAGGGCCTAATGCTGGGAAAGATTGAGGGCAATAGAAGAAGGGTATGACAGAGAATGAGGTGGCTGGATGGAGTCACTGAAGCAGTAGGCGTGAACTTAAATGGACTCCAGAAGATGGTAGAGGACAGGAAGACCTGGAGGAACGTTGTCCATGGGGTCGCGATGGGTCGGACACGACTTCGCAATTAACAACAACAACAAAGAGTGAAAGACGGATGGAAAAAATCAGGTTGCCTCACATTGTTTTGATTCTGGTGACTCCTGTATTAATACGCTTAGGAGATTGCCTGAAATTGCCTGAGGCTAAAAGGTTAAAAAGAAGAGGTCAAGGGAAAGGGGTCCATAACGTGGGCTATCTACAAAAGATGTCTCAGTGATAATTGTCCACTAACTCTTAAATTCTGGAGAAGAAATTTGAAATGTTGTAAAACATTTAAATTAAATTGAATAATGTATATAAGGGCTGAAGCTTCAGAGCTTTTAACTTTTTAAAAAAGCCACAAATCCATCATTTAGCTTGTTTCTCATTGCTGTAGAGCAGGCATGTCAAACTCGCGATGTCACGTGATGTCGCGCAACATATCGGGACTTTTTCCCCATTGCCCGTGGGCCGGCAGTTTGACATGCCTGCTCTAGAGCAGGGATGAGCAATTAATTGGACCACATAATAAACTGGGATTCTTATGGAGGGTGGAACCCATACAGCTGTGATGATGTCTAGGCATGCACACATACTGTATACTTAAATTTAAAAAAAAAGCACTCCCCTTCAAAATAAAAGCAATGCAGTTGTATTGTGAACATAGCATATACTTACTTACATTTGATTTCTAATTTCCAATTGACCTTATGTGGGCCGGACAGGGATAGCCAAAGGGCCAGATTAGCCCAGGGACCATAAAATGTCCAGGTCTGTTCTAGGGAGTGTATAATATAATATTATAGCGCAGGTATACTCCATTCTTAGTCTTCAGGAACTGATGTGAATATAAATTAGCATGTAATAACTTGAAGATGTAGGCTCAGGTTTCTTAGCGGTATCTCAATGTTTCTGGTGAGATAGTTTTTTACAATACAAGTGAATTGAATATCAAACCAAGAGCTTTCCCATTGATTAGACGTAAGTACTGCTTTATAGATTAGAAAGCCTTTGAAAATTACATAGGCATTTTAAAGTATGGAAATCATTTGCCCTGAGGTAAGTGCACCAATGCAGGAAGGACAAGCTGTTCCTAGACCCTCTTCCCAAAATATTCTTGATGTATAGGTACTCCTCGATTTACAAAAATTCATTTAGTGACCATTTGAAGTTACAAAGGCAATGAAAAAAGTGACTTATGACCATTTTTCATACTTAATGACCATTGCATCATCCCCACGGTCATGTGATCAAAATTCAGATGCTTGGCAACTGACTCAGATTTGTGATGGTTGCAGTATCCTGGGGTCATGTGATCACCTTTTGCAACCTTCTGACAAGCAAAGTCAATGGGGAAGTCAGGTTCACCTAACAACTGTGTTATTAACTTAACACCTGCAGTGATTCACTTAACTGTGGCAAGAGAAGTCATAAAATGGAGCAAAACTCACTTGCCAAATGTCTCACTTAGCAACAGGAATTTTTGGCTCAATTGTGGTCGTAAGATGAGGATAACCTGTACTCGCCTTTCAGCATTAGAAAACTTCATTTACTTCTGGACAAAAGTTTCAAGCTTTGCGCCAGACAGTAATGTGTGACCTGAAATAAAGCCTGATCCAGGCATTTTGTTCTGGGACAAGATGCAGCAAAAGGCTAAGAGATCTTTAGAAAACCTGTTAGTAGCTTGTATAACATCTGCATAATTCAGCATAATCTATTTTGGTGGGCAGATAACTTTCTATGATTTTAGACAAATATATTTTAGATAACCTGCTATATGGTTTTAAATTGAAAATGCTAGAAACTTTGGAATCTTTTCTATGCCAGTTAAATGCTTTATTGAGGAAATAGTGGGCCTACTCCAGTTCAATTAAAGGTGCTGTTTCATTTATGATATAGTAATCAAGTGGATCCATAAAGGGAGCTTCAGCCAGTCCTTAGTCTGATGAGTATGCCTGGTTGGATAATCTTTTTCAATATCAGTTTGTCCTGTTTCCAATATTTAGGTATAAGATTGAAACATGACTAATAAAAAAAAGGATGGATCACATATTTAAAATATTTTGATGTGCCATGGTTTGGAATCAATAGAAAACTGGCATCTTTCTCTAATAGTTGGTTTAGAAATCAGTTTGGTATGGTTCATTTGAGGATCCATTTGGAAGTTCCTGGAGTTTGTTATATACTTTTAAAATTATTATGTGTATTGAAATCATAACAGCTGAAAATATGATTAGCTCACGTTAATTTTGTCTTCCATAGCATAGATTCTGAATTTTGAGGTTCTTTTTCCTCTCTTCCAGTGGTTCATCATCTCCTTGCTATTTAACCTCAATTCGGAAACAGTGTCAGGGACGATCTATCAAAGGTAAGAATTTTTTCTGTTGACCCTTTACCTACCTTTTGTTAAAAAGTCTGAATCGGTCAGCCCTTTAAGGTAGGCAGATCAGAAACAGATTCCACAAATCTGACTGGAACTGTACTTTATTGATATAAGGGAATTTGATCACATGAGAAGGAAGAATTTGAACTCAAAACGTGTTCATAGTTGCAAAGAAAGACTTTGATCACAGCATTTGTACAGATAACAAATCAGAAAACTAAGAGTACTAAGATTGGAAACTTTCATTTGAAGTTTCAATAGTGGTTTGTTTGTATTATTTGAACTACCTGTATTGCTTCAGAAGTATGGCTAGTTTTTGTTGCCTTAGATCAGAGGGGTCTAACTGCCGGCCCATGGGCCGGTTGCATCGTATAGAGGCCGCGCCCACCCCAGCTCCAGCAATGCAAAAGAAGTCGCGATACGTCGCAACATATTACGCGGTGTGGCGAGTTTGACACCCGTGCCTTAGATCGCTCTGTGAGAATAACATCCTGCAATGAGAAGAAGTCTGGTGGCAGTTAAAAAAAGCAATCAACAGATGAAAACTGCCTCCCCTTGATATGAAATCAGCTTTTGCAGTGAAAAAACATAAGAAAAGAAACCAGAACTGCCATTTTAAATGTTCTGTATAGAGGTTTCTCATTTGAAAGCAGACTTAATTGCTGAGATTTGGGTTATATTAATCATTTTCTGATAAATATTACTGATCAAAGTTCTAAGAGTCTTGTTCTTTGGATAATTGTTTCTGATCCAAATTGCAAGGAACAAATTCTGACAGGTTATTCTGTGATAATCATACTGTTCCAGGTCAAAGTTAATTGAGGTTGATTGGTCCTTTTTTCTTTTTCTGATTTTCAGATTCAGATATTGATGCTGCTACTGCCATGATGCTCTTGAATACTTCCATTGAACAAGACATTTTAGATTGTAAGTACAATAAATCTGTTTTCTTTTCAAAGAATATTGTGGTTTTTTTTATTTATTTTAACTATACATGTTTAAAAGTATGTCTGAGTTTAAACAATTGACAGTTTGATAGAAAATGTTCATTTGGAATCTTTATTTTTTTTAAAAAAAAAACTTAATTGCTTTTCTAGTGAAATAAATAATGGAAATCTGATTGCTTAGCAGAAAGTCTCACTGGGAATACTGTTGCCAAGTTTTAGAGTTGCTATGGGCCCGGAAAAGTTGTTAAAAGATATAAAATCTCCCTCAAGTTGTCTTTTGACTCCTGGTGATTTCATAGACATATCCACGAAACTTTCTTGGCAACTACACAGAAGTTTTATTCCAAAAACACCTTGTCATGTTTTTTCAACTTCTCAGATTACTTAGAGCTCTAATAATTTCACCCATGTGTGATCCTGACCTTGAAATCAACCAAAATCATTTGAAAAAGGGCAACTAAAACAATTCTGGGATTGTTTAAAGGAAACGGGATAGAACTTATGTAGCATTTTCTGAACAAAGGGGATGGAGAAAGATTTAAAGCAACTTTTGTTACACCAGTTACAGCTTTGATATTACTATTTTTTCCTGGTAGGGAAGAAGTGTTTTCTTCCCCCTTCTTTTGTTCTTCCCTAACCCAGAACTTGGGATCATCCACTGAAAGTAATAGGCAGGAGATTCCTGGAACCTGAAAGCCCTTCTCACATAGTTTTATTAATTTATGGAATTAGCAACCACAATGCAAAGTCCACTACCTTTGATAATTTCAGAGGGGTGTTAGAAACATTCATGGAAAACTGTTCTGTTAACAGCATGCTTGTGGAGGTAGTAGGCCTCCAAGTTTCAGTTGAAGGCAGTATTGGCATAGATAGCTATTGCCCTTATTGTCAGTTTCCCCAAGGCATCTGGTTGCTCTCTGGGAATCGGGATCCTGGATTAGATGCCTCTGATGCAGGTATGGGGAACATGTGGCCTATGGGATTATTTCATGTACCCTTTAGTTTTACAGGTAGTCCTCAACTTAACATTTTTTAAACAATGGTTCAAAGTTATAACGGCCTTGGAAAAAAGTGCTTATGATCTGATTGTTGCATTGCCCTGTGATTGTGTGAATGCAATTCAGGTGCTTGGCAACCAGCTCACATTTACAAATGGTTGCAACTTCCTATGGCCATGTGATCATGATTTTCAACCTTTTGCCAATTTCTGGCAAAAAATACCCATTGGGAAAGCTGGATTTGCTTAATGACCACCGTAAAAATTGTCATAAAGTCAGGTCCAACTTGACTTATGACCGTAATGACTTAATGACAGAAATTCCAGTTCTAGTTGTGGTGATAAATTGAGGATTACCTATATTTTAGAATATCTGCCAGAGATACATACAAACCTCCAATACAGTTTTATTTCCATGCAATTGATTGGAAGAGTGATATATATATGTGTTGTGTGTATATAACATTTCAAAAGGAAGGGATTGAGATCCTTATCCACTTACAATTAAAGCTTTGGTTTAAATCAACAATTACCCCAAAAATATTGTCCCTCATAAGATGTTATTAGCGAGAGAAAGATGGTTGCCCAGCTCTTTGTTAGATCTACTGGGTCTGTTCTTAAAGATTGCATGCATGCCCAGTAAGTCACTCGCTTCCAGACTGAGCAGAATTATTAATACCATGATTAGGTTCAATTTTCAAATAAAGTGGTAGTGGAACTTGTGAAAATTCATTGAACACTGAAGAAGGGGATGTGGGAGTAGGGATGGTAAATTATTGAGTCAGTGCCCTGGAAACCAGAAAAAAATGAGCAGAAAGTGAAAGGGGGGAAAGAAGAGGTTGTGTGTGATGAAGGAGAAAGGGAGATGTGTCAAATAACATAGCAACGTATTCCCTACTTGATGCAGTCCATAAATTGAACTTTAATTTCCATAAACCTTCAGGCGGCAGAACTATTATACACGCTGTCTAGGGAAGTAGAAGTCCAACACCCTTAGAGAATACTTTGTTGATTTATATAATGAAAAATATTCCAGAAGTGAATGGTCTAAAATTTCAGCTAAGAAATAAAAACAGGGAAAGAGTTATATCAGTGGTTCTCAACCTATGGGTCGCAACCCCATTTGGGGTCGATCAACCATTTCACAGGGGTCGCCAAGCAAGGCTGTCCGCCATTTTTTTTCCCTTTTCCGGCGGGTGCCTTACCTCCCTTGAGCTGGGCCAGCTGGTGGTCGGCCTGCTCCGTCTCTGCCGCTTGCCAGCTACGCCTCGGCCAGTGCAGGGGAAGGAACCACGCATGCGCAGCGGTCCCGGGCAGGGAAAGTCCTCGACTTACGACCGGTTGGGTAGTCCTCGACTTACAACCGGTTTAGTCCTCGACTTACGACCGGTTGGGGGTCGCGGCATTAAAAAGGTTGAGAACCACTGAGTTATATAATAAAGGATTTCATTCATATTCTTAGCTGGGTTTTAAATGCATCATTTCCTGATGCTTTAAATGTGGAAACATGTTTACTGGATTCATTGTCTCCCTTGTTTTTTCTTAGGTGAAAAATCACCATCTCTCAAGCTCTCCAAGAAAAGGAAATATGGTAGCACATTCCATAACCACACCCAGGAAGAGGGCGATCCAGCAGTCCCCAACATTGATCCCAAGGAGGACCACAATTATAGTGCCAGCAGTGTGGCTGCACAGCGTTGCGCATCACTCTCTAGCATGTCTTCCCTGTCCTCTGTTGATGATGTATACAAATTTGTCTCAGAGGCCACCCGGACAGGGAGTGACGGCAGTGAAGGATTTCAGAGTGAGGTGGACACAGATGACAACGAAGATGACGATGATTCTCTGGCAGACAGTGGTTATACCTCACAGCCATGTGTCAGTATCACAGACGAGGCCCAGCCTCATCAGAAGGTCCTGGAGGAACTCTGCCAAGAAATTGATGATGAACTCAAAGAGGCTGCTGGGTCTCTTCTTCATCTTGCTGGGATCAGCACTTGTCTCGGCTCACTAATAAGTACTGCAAAGAGCCATACCCAGAAGAGAAGGAAAAAAAACGACAACACAGCGTGAAGATAATTGATCGATCTATCTATATCTATATACATGTTTTATTTTTTAGGCTGGCAATATTCCTCCTTTTACCCTTTGCAAGGGAGATCAAAGCCATAAAAGGACTTTTTGTTTGTTCTTAATTTTTGCAGATTATAATTTTGCCATTTATAAAATTACGTTATTTTTAATTATAAGAGCAATTAATTTGTGCGTTGAAGGGCCGACCAAAATTGTGTGAAATGGATGAGGAAGTCTCAGTAATTGTAAAGAAACAGAATATTCATTATTATCATTGGAATGGTTGATTCACATGGATATATCATTGGCTGGGTCGTTTTGTGCTAAAGGTGTGGCATGTAGGGTCCAACAGATAAGGAATGAATGGTCCTATGCACAAGAGATTCTTTAAAAAATGTGCATATTGTGGAGAAGAGAATTGCTTGCCATTTCCCAATATGCCTCTTCAGTTTCTAGGCCTACCAGTTTTTTGTATGTTGTACTTTAGAATAAGACGCTAGATGTAAAGGGTTTGATCACACCAGGGAAAAGATCTCTGTCTCTCTAGTGCTGAGGATTTGATACTGAGTGAATGAAATATATTTCATTTATGCAAAATAGGCCTAAATTATATAATTCTTAGCCCTCAGAATGGGGTGATAAAAATTAAGCAAACAACACATACAAATATCTAATTCCCAGTTGGTGCTCAGTATGCATGAATCTGGTAGTCCTGAAGGTGTAGAGGCCCCTCTGAAATTGGGACTAAGCAGGTAATGTCCCCATTTCTCACTGCTTATGGGGTCCACAGTGTTTCCATTTTTATTTTTATTTTGGTGATATAGAATGCAGAGCAAGACATGTTGTTATTGCCTTCAGCTTTAGCTTCCATTGTTAACTGATTTCCTCAATTTACAAGCCAAGGGTCTGTGATTACATGAATGGTATAAAACTGCCATGATAATCAGTTGCAGGTTGACTGGTATTTGCAATTATAAAATTGATGGGTAGGGGAGAGATACAACACGTGAATCTTCCTATTTTTGAGAGTGGAATCTTGAATGGGTAATCTAGAAGTTTCTTCCTATTTTTAACACAAGGTAAGGAGCTGGTTCTTTCTCTTGTGTTTGTGTTAATTGTAATTATTATATATTGGATCAATGATGTATACATCTGTTTGCAAATCTGAGGCCCTTCTTTCTGTCTTGTTATCTAAATTAAGTGCAAAAGAGTGACTGCTCAATTGCAAATGACCATTGCACAGAGAACTTGAATTTTGTTTAGGTTAAGGTAGTTGAGACTTGTTATTAATAAGCTAAGAGTTGTTTGGGGGGCTCTAGCGCATCACTTTGCAGACCATAATGGAATTATATTCCATATGCAACAGAAATAAGTGCATTGAAAAGTCATTGTTGGCTGAACAATTCTAGACTAATTTTCTCCCTGATTCTTTATGAGTAAAGCTTTTAACAATTATAATGGGATGATCATGAGAGATTCTTCTTGTTTTTTGCAGCAGTATAGTTCAGCTGTGTATCACCTGAGCGAGAACAAGGGCTTTCTGTGGCACTTTCTAACAGACTACTTCCCCTACCCTGCATTTTTCAGTTTTGCTTTGATTTAACCCAGCATTCCTAGAAACAACAGAGGAAGCTTAGAGATACATATTATCCACTCCTGGCAGCCTCCATTTTTCTTGGAGATGGGATGGATTTTGTTTATGTTTTATATCTGTTATTTCAGCAATAATATAATCTTCCTTGTTGAATTCTGAGATAAGTCCAGATGCAGTGTGACAGTTGCATGGAACATAATATTTATAATGCATGGACCATGTAGTATGAGAATTACCTGTTTCTGTGGACTGTACTGGGAAATTCAAATTCTGGATGTGTGTCCAGATGTCATTTGTGTATCCCCAGCTGCCTAAAATTGTGGACTTGTGCCTCTCCTAGGCATTTATTCAGAAACAGTTGTGCATCTTTTCAATTCTGGGGACCATAAGAGAGGACATAGGGCTACTAACATTGCTGTGTAGATTGGAAGCTAATACACAGTTGGAATAGGGCAGTTATTTGCCTGTGGGATAGTCTGAAGTGCAGGGCCAAACTGTATTATCCAGACATCTTTTTGTTGTTACCATCAGCCATATTGATGAATTTGGAGTCATATGGCAAGCACCCCTGGTTGGAACAAACAGCTAGGCAAAGCACTGGAAACAGTGAGCTTAACTCAGAAAAACAGGAATCTCCAAGTTGGCACAGCTGTCTTTGGCTGCAGTCTATTAATGCAGTTCCATTACTTTTCAGTAGTCACTTGCAGAAGAAATGTTTGCATGCTACAGGCTGGGGCTGTTGTGTCCTGTGAATGTCTTGAATGTTGCATAATGATCAAAGCATTGCTTGTTTGGAAAGCAGCTTGACAAATGGCATTTCATCTGCACATTTTCCATGCTTTGAGAATGAAGGGAAGAGAGTCCATTAGTGGCCGTTTGAGCAAATCTGCCTGTTACCTCTCTGCATTTTGCATTCTTGTGAGTTGTACATTACATTTCTACTGATGACATAGAGCTGCTTTGGCTTCTAAGTGACAAAAGTGACAAAGATGTAAATGTCCGGGACTTAACTTCACTGCCTTTTCTTGCATACTGTCTCTTTCTATCTGCTAAAAACTCTGTCACTATAATTTTTGTTAAATGTTCTGTAGGAGTTCAATGCCTTAGCCAGGTTCCAGTGATCCTAACTGGACTGATTATAAGAACTCCAGAACTAAAAGGAGTGACCCCTCCCCCCCTTGAGGTTTATTGTAAGCTTGTGTATAGTTTTAGATTCAAAGGCAAAATGGTCCTTCAGAGCTTATAGGGACAATCGCATAGCACCTATCTACAATAATCACATTTATCATTTCCTGAGATTTCCCAGCAACTGGCAGGTATTTTGAATTAGGGGAAAAAAAGCAGAGAGATGTAATGTTCACACCTCATATGCTCCAATGACCTTTTTTTGCCTTAGAATGCAAAGCACTGCACAGCCCTACTTTGTTGAATGCTGCTACTGTTACAACGTCCCTGAATTTGGCAACATCCAGCTGAAGTGTAACTGCAAGTCACAGAATTCCCAGGCATCATGAACAATGGAAATTTTGAGATTTGCAGTCCCAGCACACCCAGGACAGTGCTATTAGAATAATATCAGCAGAGATTCTCCTGGTGTAGGCCTTAAGTTTGTAAGAAATTATGTAGTTTTTAGTATTTCAGAATAATTTTTTTGTTAAAATGATAGCAACCTATAAGTGAGTCAACCTTGTAATCACATTGTTATTTTATAGACAGAAACAAAAATCTAATGCATGGATGTTTGCACGCTCACCTGTTTGTAGACAACTTTCTTTGATGTCAAGTTTAAACACAAATGGTGCTCATTCTGTATATTGCCTGCTTCAGCTCTTCAATCCAGAAATTCTCATGGATTGGTGAAAAACTGCCTGCTTGCCAGAATCACTTTTGAAATAACCTGCTGATTAGGTTTTGCTAAGGAAGGAGTTATGTAAGGGTCTACTTCCAAGTCAGATAGATTTTGTATAACTTCCTGTTTTTTTCATTTCATTAATCAATATTGCAAGTTCCACCATTGCATAGTGATTGAGAATTGGAAAAAACCTATGGATTAAAAATTGCTTTCAGTGTATTGTTTTTCTTTGCTGTTAAATAATATTTGCCCTTCTTTGAGAAGGGTTTTCCATTGTATGACTACTACAAAAAATAACACAGTGTTAGTAGGTCTTACTTTTGTAAGAGAGATCATCTGAAAGCCTGCAAATATTCTAAGTCAGGGTTATTTAAGGCTCTTTGTATGCTTGAGAAGTATGGTGTTTTCTGCCAAAAGGTACCTACATTAAATAAAAGAAGCAGTCGATAAATAGGAATACTGTATAGTTGCTCAGTAATCAGGTTGTTGCTGGGTAGAATTGATTCACAAAAATCTCACCCAATCATGGGAGTTGAAGACTTTTACAGAAATTCAGAGAAAGCAAAATTCTCATTTGACCTTTTGAATGGTTCTAGTCATATATCCTTCCTATGAAATGGGAGTTTTCTATATGGTAACGTGGCTAAGTGAAGAATATTGTACTATATACATGATCCAGAGCACCTACAGCATGGGGATTTAATATAAAGTCACCACTCACAAATTTATAAGCAAGCCTGTATATTAAGTGCCAAGGCACATTTTAAGTCCTGTATGTTGTGCAGAGATGTCCCATTTAACATTTGTCCAAAATGTGTGTTTAATAACTTGCGTGATGTGAAAATTGTTTCCATAGCAATGCAGGTAATATGGTTATAAAGAAATGTGTTTCTTTGGGTTTTTTTGAAAGTTGAGAAAAGTTGAGTTCAGTTCTCAGTACAAATTGGCCAGATTTTCATGCTTGAGGCTACTTTCCCTACGAGCTCCTTTGCTCAGTTGTGTCGTCTTACATTTGACCTGTTAAAAGTCTGTTTGCAGTCTCTTTTCTTCAGACAAATGTTGATGTGTGCACAATTGTCTTTCAGTGTCCTACCATTAAGAAAAAGTCTAGTGTCATCTCTATGATAGAAAACGTATAGTGATCATTAACATTGGTAGCACTTTCCCTGTTGGTCTTCAAGTCCAAAGGCAGAGCAATAAAAGCATTTGGTGAGAACAGATGCTTCAAAAAGTCCAGATTTAAAGAACTATGATTGTAGATGCTTGCGATCTTAGTTACCTTATATAGCACGACTTTGGGAAATCCTCTGATTGTACAATTTCTGCCTATAAATGGGAAGTAATATATGTGCAGGTAGCAAATAGCATATTGGACAGAGGTTTAGATTTTTCCTCCTTATATGCTTGTTTACTATATGCATTGTGCTTTTTGAGTTGCAAAAATATGACATCTTGCACCCCCCCCCCCCCATTTTGAGGTGATCCTAAGCAAGGATTTACACATGTACTTTCTCTAGAATGGGTAGAACATGTTGTAATATGTTAGATTTGATT